TACGAACAATATAACAAACCTCTTCTTCTTTTATCCCACAGTCGTCCACTGCTGGTCATAGCCCCCACCCTCCCCCCCCCAATCTTCGCCACAACGATGCAGTCAGCGTAAGATCGGTCGCTGTGACGAACAGACCTCTTAACACCGTAAAATATGCCTAAGGCCGTTTCAAAGCTAACGTATCAATACACAACATACAAATATCTCGGCCAGTACAGTGCAATATGTAATTTAGATCTTAGCCAGTACCGCTGGGGCCGCGGGCGTGGGTGATCAAACTACGCTCAACGCTTGCCATTTTATTAATACGCTTTTATTAGCTTCAGACGTATGTATGTAACGGAATCTTTGAACATGATATTGACCCCCTTCAAAACATCGGATTAACTCGAAATTTGGTTATACTTATTAAGGACCGATGACAATTCAATAATAAAATTAAAATATTGAAATTCAACTAAAAAAAACTAACAAAATACGCTTTTATAAAAAATGCAACTAAAAAATAGATTTTTTTTATAAATTTGAATTAAAAATAGTGTAAGACATAATGCTTTTATTGTAAAAAAGCGTGGGGAGTTTTTCAGGATATTATCAAAATAACCCTTCTACTCATATCTGTTCATAAAATATTTATAACTACTGAAACCATACACCCCACGCTTTTTTTTTATAATAAATTCACTTTTTCTTACACTATTTTTAATTCAATTCAATTATTAAAATTTATTGCTGTGTATTTTAGAACATATAAAAAGACATATGTTGTATGTAATGAAGTTCCTTTATTAGTGAAAACGACAGATGATTCAATAGACCACGATTTTGTTTAATACTTTAGATGGGTGAACGAGCTCACGACCCATCTGGTGTTAAGTGGTTACCGGAGCCCATAGACATTTACAACGTAAATTCCGCTACCCACCTCGACACATGAGTTCTAAGGTCTCAAGTATAGTTACAACGGCTGCCCCGCCCTTCAAACCCAAAGACATTATTGCTTCACGCCAGAATTAGACAGGGCGGCGGTACCTACCTACCTATGCGGACTCACATGACGTCGTACCACCAATAGGACACCAATGGTATTTAGGCTAATAATTTATCAACTATCCAACGTAAATATAACATTACATTAATTAATTGCACACGAAAACGAAAGCAAAATAAATTTCTACATAGTACAACCTAAAATGCTTACGAATTCACATAATCGTTGAGTTATGTACAGACGGAAGTCTATACGGAACTTAATTCTAGATATTTCAAATATTGTTTTATGTAATTGTTATAGTAAGTTAGTAATTACTTGATAATTGACATTCTTAAACCGATTCTTTCATTCAATAAACTTGTCCTGCGGCTTCGGAGGATTTTTTTTATTGCTTAGATGGGTGAACGAGCTCACGGGCCACCTGGTGTTCAGTGGTTACTGGAGCCCATAAACATCTACAACTTACATGCGCCACCCACCTTGAGATATAAGTTCTAAAGTCTCAGTATAGTTACAACAGCTGCCCCACCCTTAAAACTGAAACGCATTATTGCTTCACGGCAGAATTATGCAAGGCGGTGGTACCTACCCGCGCGGACTCACAAGAGGTCCTACCACCAGTAATTACGCAAATTATAATTTTGCGGGTTGATTTTTACTACACGATGTTATTCCTTCACCGTGGAAGTCAATCGTGAACATTTGTTGAGTACGTATTTCATTAGAAAAATTGGTACCCGCCCGCGGGATTCGAACACCGGTGCATCGCTAGATACGAATGCACCGGACGTCTTATCCTTTAGGCCACGACGACTTCACTATCATCATAACGCAATAGTCAGTAGTCATTTACTGCAAATTACTTGTAATGCGAGCCCGCACGGGTCGGTTTTGCAATCTAGTTCATATTTGTCGCGAAGCAATCATACATTCCACAACGCGCACACTACATTATGCCGCATGTCTTTACCGTCATATTTTTACTGTCTCGACTACTTAAAAATGTAAGCGGGCCGAAATGTCGTCTGCCCATCTAGAGACGATTTACTTCTGGCACTTTTCAGAAGTATTTATGATATGTTGTTACGCCGGCAAGAGTAACGCCATCTATTGCCGAATAGCCGAAACGAATATCAGAGGATCTAGTAACATCTAGAACGCTTGAGAAATACAACGCCATCTATTGTCTGATAGCGGAAACGCGCATCAAAAATACTTGACTTGTGAGGAATGTTCTCGATAATTCTAGGGATGTTGTATCGACTATAAAAGCGTTGCAGAGATGGGACGCAGGCAGTTAGTAATCGGAACTCCTCGAAGCGAAACAGTGAACGGATCTCCCGAAGCGAAGCGGAAGAAATGAATTAAGAATTTTCAAGTGTTTGTGAAGTGCTTTAAGTGTTCTAAGTGCTAATTCAGTTTTAATTTATACTTCGGTAGAATTTTATTTATCCCGAACCCCAACGCGTAGCAATATTTTTCGGCAGTATATTAGACTGACTAGCGACCCGCCCTCGCTTCGCTTCGGAAACATTAAAACACAAATGACACCAAAAAAAAAAATAAAAAAAAAAGTAGCCTATGTTCATCAGGGACAATGTCGGCTTCTAATGGAAAAAGAATTTTTCAAATCGGTCCAGTAGTTTCGGAGCCTATTCGAAACAAACAAACAAACAAATCTTTCCTCTTTATAATATTAGTATAGATTAGTTTTAAGACTTGAACATTTTAGTTACAAATGCTTTGTTATTTTTATTTTACACCGATTTCGTTTTAGCTTAAATTTATTTTAAGCGCGCGTGCGAGATATGTTCACGGTCCTCCTATTGGTAGCGTAGTTAGAGCATAGATATAAGGACCGGCTGACTTTTCAAAAGCTGATGTATTATTTCTTATTTGATAGATATAGCCATACATAATGCCCTATAATGAACTATCCATTAGGCCTTACAAGATGTTTTGCCAACATAATTCAAGTTAAAACTTGGTATAACAGTGTCAGTTAGAGACAATGGTGATGGTACTACTGCTACATAGATAATGAGTATAGTAGAATTTGGAAGAACCCGACAATTTAAAAGTAACTCGTAAATAAGATTATTTCAAAGGCCAAATTTAGTGCAATTATGGCTTCACACCGCATTTACCTCTTGCGTTTGTATGCAATAATCCTTCGACTCCCATGGAACTAGGGAATGCAATTGTTGACAATGATGGGAGGTGCATAGTATCCACTTGTCCATTGCTCTTTGGACCAACCCTTTGACTGAGGATATTGATTTAATAATAAAGCTTCAGGTTGACGTATGAGACCCAATAAGGTCAATACGAGAATAAAACGGAGAGAGAGAGAGAGAGAAAGAGAGCCAAATTCTCGAAAACGTTTTTTTTATTGCTATTTTATATTTTTTAAGTGGTTACTGGAGCCCATAGACATCCACAACGTAAATGCGCCACCCACCTTGACATATAAGTTCTAAGGTTTCACGTATAGTTATAACGGCTGCCCCACTCTTCAAACCGAAACGCAGTACTGCTTCACGGCAGAAATAGGCAGGGCGGTGGTACCTACCCGTGCGGACTCACAAGAGGTCCTACCACCAGTAATTACGCAAATTATAATTTTGCGGGTTTCATTTTTATTACACGATGTTATTCCTTCACCGTGGAAATTAATCATGAACATTTGTTGAGTACGTATTTCATTAGAAAAATTGGTACCCGCCTGAGATTCGAACACCGGTGCATCGCTCAACACGAATGCACCGGACGTCGTATCCGTTAGGCCACGACGACTTCAAAACTTCGATTTAAATTTGCAATCGCCCCGATTTGGTTTCAATCAGTCATTTCAATTTTCGAGTGCGCAAACCGCTAAATCGTTTTTAATCGCGTCCCTCAAAATACACAAACTGTGGTCAGAGAAAGAGCCAAACTGAGAATTGTGCAAGTGGTACTAAATCAAAACGACCCACTTATCCCGCTCGATTGCTTCAAATACAATTCCTCCTCGCAATCCAAGCCCAATTGCAAGAGATTGCACTGTACATCTTGCAAATTCTTTATTATTATTATTATTATAGTATCGATGGAAAACGTCATTTTACGGTGATAGCTGAGCTAATGTTTAGTGCTGCTCCGTCGGTTTTGCTTCACTGGAATTATGTTTTTCGTGTGGAGCAAGTTATAGGCGATAGCGTTTATTACATGTGATCGAAACTGAAAATGATTAATATCAGGCGTTATACAGCTTTTTCGGTCACCGTCCTCGTCGAACCCATCACTTGCGACGAAGGGAACCGAGGGCGGGTCGCTAGTACCAAATAAAATCCTTTAATTACAGAGAAAAATGTGGCGTATTAAGCGAAATGCCGCTTAAACCAAATAGCCTAACACCCCTCGATATGATCTCTTGTAAGCATTTAACATCAGATGTTCCGTGATCTCTACCAATCAAGAGTAAAAACCTACACTTTCGAACGACCTACCTAAAAGAAGCAATATCAAATCCTCCTAAACAATAAGTTTACCTAATTACTAAATACCTAAAGCAAACTCAATAGTGTCTAGAGTCGACAGGAAGATACGTCGGCTGGAAGATGTGTTTCAATAAGCTTTTAAGTTTTTTTTGTTATTGCTTAGATGTGTGGACGAGCTCACAGCCCATCTGGTGTTAAGTGGTTACTGGAGCCCATAGACATCTACAACGTAAATGCGCCACCCATCGTGAGATATAAGTTCTAAGGTCTCAGTATAGTTACAACGGCTGCCCCACCCTTCAAACCGAAACGCATTACTGCTTCACGGCAGAAACCGGCAGGGCGGTGGTACCTACCCGTGTGGACTCACAAGAGGTCCTACCACAGGGTAAAAAGAGATCTCGAAAGTATGTTAAGTTTGGAGTCGCCGCTTAATTTAGATCTAATAACAAAATCTAATTGACCACGTGCATAATATACAAAGTATCAGATAATTTATAATAAAAAACTTTTTTTCTTTGTTGCAGCGAGCTGGCTTTGTTGGAAGGAATGGCGAATTCCGGAGGCTGGAGTGAGGAGCCGGTCCCTAAGGTACGTTTTTTGAGATGCTTTTATTAGCTCATCTTATATCTACATCAATGTATATATGGGCGCAAACGCCACTATTGGCAATAATTAACATGATAATATATAGTTTAGTTTGAAAATGTCATTATTTATTTACTAGCCGTACTCGCCCGCTTCGCTGAACGAACGAAAAGAATCGAACGAATGAAACGAACGAAAGAACGAAAATAATCGAGAACTTCCTCTTTTTTTTTTCTTTTTTTTTTTTGCGCTTCTAGGCTGAATATCATACGGCCAACCTGATGGTGAGTGGTTACCGTCGCCCATGGAACTCAGCAATGCCAGGGGCAGAGCCAAGCCGCTGCCTACTAATATATTTTACAAGTGTTTATTTCGTTCAAAAATAATTCAGTGTACGTTGGGCCGTGCGATGAGCGATCAGCGTTTTCCATGGATTTTATAACCACAAAGATAATTACTGTAAAAACTGAATGCAAATTATCTTAATTTAAATTGTAGACTTGTACATGGCAAATGCTAGTAATTTAAAAAAAAAAACGATTGTGCAAAAGGAGAGCGTGCGAACAAACCGTAAGTAATTATAAAGACATTAATTGTAATTAAATTCAACGAAAAATATGAAACCTGTCATTGAGAATACTATAGTTTCAATTTACATAATCATGTATTGTTTCTGCGCAGGAAGAAATATATCTAGCATAACAACGGGTTAAAGGCTATTTGGTATAAACGACATTCACTGGTGGTAGGACCTCTGGTGAGTCCGCGCGGGTAGGTACCACCACCCTGCCCATTTCTGCCGTGAAACAGTAATGCGTTTCGATTTGAAAGGTGGGACAGCCGTTGTAGCTATACTTGAGATCTTAGAACTTATATCTCAAGGTGGGTGGCGCATTTACGTCGTAGATGTCTCTGGGCTTCAGTAATCACTTAACACCAGGTGGGCTGTGAGCTCGTCCACCCATCTAGACATTACGCTTAATACACGACATTTATTTTTGTAATTAAAGGTGCGTTTTATTTGGTATGAGCATCAACAGTTCGATGTTTTTAATTGAACTTCAATTAAGTTTACTCCATTCAAATATCTGGAGCAGATTTTTTGTTATGACATTTAATTTCCAAATTTTAAACTTTCAATGGCTCTCCGGTCAAATTGCAAAAATGTCGCTTAAACCAGATAGCTTTTCATCCTTCGATGTTACAATAGTCGATGCGTTTGTGTATACATATAGTCCGTATAGCCTCCGAAACGATTGGACCGATTTGGATGACGTTTACAGGAAATATTCAACGGAAATATTCAACTTGGTCTATGGTCCAATCAAAAAATCGGGTCGAGTTTTAATGGTATTAAGAATAGAATAAGTTTACTGGGTTAGCATTGTCAATTCTGCTGAATACTGTAGCTTTTTTTTGAAGCTGATGATAAAGTTAACGATGACATTTATGTGAAAAAAACGCTTTTTCTGTAACTTTTAGTCCTCAAACTATCCGACTAGTTTGATCAGAAGATCTTTCTAGAAGTGTAGGTATTAGATCGAGAAAGTGAAATTGCACCTATAGCTCCGATGTTGTTAATCGGTTCTTTATTTCATAGTAAGGTAACTGATTTCACAGGTTCCACCTGCTTTAATTCTTTAAATGGCTGATCAAAATCACATTCCTGTCTGCTTCGGTTTTCTGTCATGAAGTAATCAGGCGTGCTGGTGTGAAGAACAGCCGTCAACACTGTAATTTGATAAAGTAGTTAATACGGGCTCGCTGTGTTCTATATCTTCGAAATAATAGCTGTGGCGGTAGCTAACGGTGTACCAGAGAAATCTAATTAAAACCTGAATCGCAGTATCGATAATTTCAATAGGCTTCAATGGGCAATAACTCTGCCTATCTCNTCATGAAGTAATCAGGCGTGCTGGTGTGAAGAACAGCCGTCAACACTGTAATTTGATAAAGTAGTTAATACGGGCTCGCTGTGTTCTATATCTTCGAAATAATAGCTGTGGCGGTAGCTAACGGTGTACCAGAGAAATCTAATTAAAACCTGAATCGCAGTATCGATAATTTCAATAGGCTTCAATGGGCAATAACTCTGCGTATCTCCACTGTTTTGTAGTTATGCATTCTAATTTGGAAGAAGAGACAGCGGTTATACAATACAATTTAGACTTAGACCTCATGCCTCATGGTAAGTAACGGCATTTACATACATATGGTATATATGTAATAAATTAATAATCTTTTCGGTTATTTCTACAAAGGCTTTCGTATTAACAACAACCGTAACTTAAACATTCTTAACTTTCACTGCTCCTGAATTTATTTGTTACAACATAAATGAAATAAGTTAAATGATTACAACGGAACCGCTAAGTACGTCCGCGGCTCGATAAAATCGGGAGATGAAATGCAATTTACTGTCATATAAAATCTTTAGACGATGCAAGTTACAGGCAACAGCGGGAGACTAAATCCGACGTCGGCTTATGAGCACAATTACGTTACAACGTCAAACAGCCCATCACTAAATAGTGAAGGTGTCGCGGTTAGAAACATCAAGCGAATAATATGCTCATTGTATACATACATAATATGTGTTGAGCGATGCGAGATGAATTTTTTTTAAATTCTAACATGTTGTCGCAATTGAGGTCCACAAGGAATCCTGCACTCTTTCCACGAATCAGACATAAATTTCAAGCCTCAAAGATAGGACAGCCCTAAAATGCAATTAAGAGTACTGACATCCCAAGCAATAGTTTATTTATATGCAGACCTCTTGACGTCCACGCTATAAACAATCAATCACTAACAGGCTGCCAAAACTTAAATACAATTCATGTAATTTGCATATGCTACAAATATCAAAGTATAAATCTTTAAAAACTCTAAAAACTCTGATATGTAGATACTATAATTATTACTACATATCTAAAAAAAATTTGTTTTTAATAAACGCGAAATCCTCATACTTGGGCCGCGTTCATTAAAGGCGACTTCACACCACGCGCAGCGGTTGCACTGCGTACATCGCGTGCCATCCCGTTCGTTGACCTCGAAAAAATATATTGCGATCGGACACTTGCTTTCTTACATTAATTAATTGAATAATCTGGACGTTCGTTTATATCCATCGTTTTAATGAAGTAACGTCGTTCACATAACTCTTATTGCGTTTCTCAACAGTTAACATTGTACTTTCGCGAACAAAAACGCATTTGCGTTATTTTAAACGCTTACAATATTCATAAGACTAGAGCATCTTTGAATATATCAAACCATTCCGAATTCATTAAGGCAGTTTCTCCTCCTTGCATCGATAGTCCTCAATGCTGAGGGCCGTGACCTCGTGAGGATCTACTGGTGGTAAGACCTCTTGGGAGTCCGCATGGGTAGGTACCACCGCCCCGTCTATTTCTGCCGTGAAGCAGTAATGCGTTTCGGTTTGAAGTGTGGGGTAGCCGTTGTAACTATATTGAGACCTTAGAACTTATATCTCAAGGTGGGTGGCGCATTTACGTTGTAGATGTCTATGAGCTCCAGTAACCACTTAACACCAGGTGGGCTGTGAGCTCGTCCATCCATCTAAGCAATAAAAAAAAAGAGAATCCTCAATGCTGAGGGTCGTGGCCTCGTGAGGCTTTCTTGGGAAAATATGGTGGGGGTTCTGCGTCCTCCACGGTAGCGCTTTTGGAAGAGATTTAGCTTGAGGACACTTAAGCCTTATTTGGGTCCAGCTAATTAACCGCCGCCCGACATTCGGCGTGGACTGTTTTCAGGTCGAACTCTAACTCAACCCTCCTCGTTCTTCATCCGGGTTTGGGACCGGCATTAGCAGAGTAAAGCAGCTAAGCGTTCGTTATTCGAGCCTGTAACTGTGTTCCCCCGATTTTTATGTACTGAGCGAAAGAAGATTTGCGAGAGAAGAGTAACAGAGATGACGTAAAAAGATATAGCTTGAATAGAAAAAGACAACACATGTAAACATACTAAGAATCTTGTATTACAACGCTTTTAAAAATGAAAATAGCGCATTGTAGGCCCGCAGCTTCCACTATCCTTCTCATTTCTGTCCTGAAGCCTTCAGTCGATTCGGTTTGTGCGGGACAGCTGGTATGCTGTGGACTTACACTTAATGTTTCACGACTTCCTTTGCCGCATAATGTCTACGGGATCCGGTAATCATTTAAAACCACCACTCTACGGACTAAGTTTTATTGTACAAATTCACTCCTTCGTGGGTAAAACCTTACACCTATTTCCCTAGAAAAAATAATACAAGCCTGTGGGATTTTAATAACGGCATAGACTTGTCCTTTAGGTCACGAAAAATTTGCTCGGGTTTATCTCTATAATAATATGTTTTTATGTAAAATCTGGGTATTGAAAACTAAACATAACTGGAGCGTTACGCATAATTTCTTTACGTTCTCAGATCCAAGGCTGTAATGTTAGACAGTCGATAGATTTAGATAGAGTGAGTAGGTAGATACTGTAATTCGAAGAGACTCAGGATTGGGTGGACAAGGGTTTTGAAGAAGAATAATTAAATCAGTTAGAGGAACCTATATTTGCTACCAAGATGAGACAACTTGGGTTAATAACTTCTGCTTGCCCGTCGTCCATCATACATTTTATCTGGTTAAGTACTGTCCTAAGTAATATCACGAATATTGGCCAGGTATGCTGTTTTCTAAACCCAGGTTTGGCAATGTCGATTTGTCAATTTCAAAAAATTTACGATTTGTATTCACGTTATGAATAAAACAAAGAATAAGGTCGTTGACACTAATTCCATTTAGTTAAAATATGATAAAATTCATTTGAAGCTTATGTTATCTTCCGATTCATATCACTTATAAAACTGCGCTATAATTAATTTAATAGATTCGCGTTTATATCATTCATCTCTCCGGCACGACTAATTGGCTGTTTAAAATCTTATCTTAGAATCAACCGCCCATTCAGTAGTAAAAATTTCATACATAATCAAGTTATACGTA